CCGCCCCGCGGCGCCCCCCAGCGCCTGCCCCGGGCTCTGCGCGGACTTGTGCTCTCCGCCGCGGCGCAGCCACCCGTGCCGGGGCCGCGCCGAGGGGTTGGCGGGGTTGCGGATCAGACTCAGCCGCGGCTGCCAGCTCACCATGAGCACGGAGCGCCCGGCTCGCGGCCCCGATGCATCCGCGGCGCCTGCCACAGCTGCTCTGTGCCACCCTCCTCCTGGCACTTCTGCTCTGGGGCCTGCTGCTGGTCGCGGAGGATGCCCGGGGGGCCTGGGCCGTCTCCAGCCGCTTCCCCCTGGCCCGGGGCAGGTGGCGCTTTGGGGGCGCAGCCCCTGTCCCCAGCGGAGTGGACTTCGCGTCCCTGCTCGCCAGCCCGGGCGCAGCCCCGCGCTGTGAGCCGGGGCAGGTGCTCCTCGTCTTGGTGACGTCCGCGCCGGGTAACCGGGAGCAGAGGCGCACGATCCGGAGGACGTGGGGCGCCCAGGGCGAGCTGGTGCCGCTCCAGTGGCAGGCCGTGTTCCTAGTGGGGCAGGCGGCGGATGCTGGGACCGCCGACCGTGTCCGGCGGGAGCAGCAGGACTTCGGGGACATCCTGGTGGGCAGCTACCAGGACACGTACCGGAACCTGACGCTGAAGGTCATGCACGGGCTCAAGTGGGCGGCCGAGCGGTGCCGGCCCCGCTACATCCTCAAGACGGACGACGACTGCTTCGTCAACACCGACCGGCTCCCGGGCTTCCTGGCGCAGCTCGGCCCCGTCCCCGCCGGGCTCTACGCCGGCTCCGTCTTCTCGCGCGAGAAGCGGCAGGTCATCCGGGAGCCCTCCAGCAAGTGGTACGTGTCGCGGCAGGACTACGGCCCCGACGAGTACCCGCCCTACGCCAGCGGCATCGGCTACGTGCTGTCGCTGGAGGCGGCTGCCCGCGTGCTGGCGGCCGCGGAGCGCGTGCGGCCCATCCCCGTGGAGGACGCCTACGTGGGCATCCTGGCGGAGGCGGCGGGCATCCGGGCGCAGGCCAGCGCCCGCTTCGCCAAGCACAACGTGCATTGGCGCGTGTGCAACTACCGCTACCTGATGGTGATCCACCACCTGAGCCCGCCCCAGCAGGAGGCCGCCCGCCGCAGCATGCTGCAGGCCCGCGACGCCTGCCGCGACAGCGTGGAGGTCACGCGCTGGAGGTGACTGGCCCGGGGCCCCAGGCATGCGGCCTGCTCGGGGGTGGTGCCCAGCCGGGCATCTCAGCCCCAGGCTGGAAGCAGTCCAGGAAAACTAAGCTGTGCAGCTCCTTCTGTAACCCAGTTTTCAGCACTAACGGGGGCTGGGCTCCACTCCCAGCCTGACCCTGGATGACCTTGGGCGTCACTGCCCGCTCCCTGTCCCAGCTCCCTTCACACTAACCGACTAACCTTGCCAAGCCCTGCCTACTCCTATCTGCTGCCAGCAGGAGCAGCCCAGAGGCCTGCACACAGCGATAGAGCCTGTCCTAGGGTCATAGTTGTAGAGAAGTGGGGCTGGCAAGGACCTCAATGGTCACATCCAGTCCAGCCCCTGCCTGAGGCAGGATCAGCCCTGTGCAAACCAGCCTAGGCACATCCACAGTCCAGCTTCTGAGCAGCGCGACACCGTCACCCTGAAACGGCCCCAGGCATCGTCCCTGACCCGTGCAGGGAAAGCAGGGGGCTGTGGCAGCCAAAGTCCTGCTGCTGCAAAGGACATTAAACGTTTGAGAGACCCCAGGCAGAGGCCCTGCCACACTGCAGAGGAAGGCAACCCCCTCCGGACCTATCTGATCGGGGGGAACCCTTTCCTGCCCCCAGTGCAGCACTGGTCTGACTCCGAGCACAGGGGCAAGACCCTGCGGGGTTGGTCCCAGCAGAAGCATTGGCACAGCCCATCTCCATCCCCAGCCTGGGCTGCAGCCAACACACAGCGCCCCTGAGGGAGGCAAAAGCCCCTGATGTAGCAGAAAGGCAGAGGAGGGAACAGCAAAGCCCAGAAGCCTGAAAATCCCCATAGCAGAGCATGGGCACAGCTGCGCCGGGAGCATCCCCGCCCAGCGTCTCCTTCAACTTCTCCCACGACGGAGAGTCTCTGGCGGAGGAGCCAGGCAGCTGCCTGCTGCTGGCTGGGTTGGCCCTGGAGCCCCTTGGGAAGGGGAGGACGGGTGATTCCCCCTCTGTGTCCCTGCAGGAGCAGGTCGGGCTGTGGGGAGGGAGGAAGGGCTCAGAGCTCAGGCCCGGGGGTGCCTTGCAAACCATTAGCACTACAGGACGCAGAGCAGGCGGGGGCAGGCGCTGCCCACTGCTCCCAGCACCGCAGGCTCCAGCGGCCGAGGGCCGAGCTCGCGTCACCAGCGCTCCAGGCTGCAACAGAAGTGACGCCTGCAACAAAGGTGACAACCGCAGCCAGAGGTGCGTGCTCACTTCCACCCCCACTGGGCTTCCCCACCTGCCCTCCTCCTCATGGCCCAGGCCAGCGGCTGGGCCCCCCTGCTAACATGGGGTCGTTTCCACCCCAGGTGGTAGCCGGGCCGAACAGCCCCAGCACGGCTGGCTGGGAGGGTGTCGGCGCCCAGGCTCCCCGCTCCCAGGGCGGATCAGAGCCCTGGTTGGGTCAGCGCGGCCGCTGGGCAGGGACTTGTCGGGTCCCAGCTGCCCTGCGGCGACCGTCCCCATCCCCAGGGATGCCGAGGCTACGCCCAGACGGGCCTGCGAGTTGCCCCTGCCCCTCGGTGTCTCCGAGACTGATCCCCAGAGAGCAGACGCCCCCTGCCCTGGTGAGCGAGTCAGTGCCGAGCAGGGTGGAAAACCCTCTGCGTTTTATTAAAAACAGTAAAAATGCCCCAAAGACCCAGGAGCTTCACTAGGCCGGTCCCTGCAGCGACCCCGCACACTAGACCCCCGCCCCCTCCTCAGTGTGGGGTGAAGTGGGGTGTGGGGTAGGCCGAGGTGGGGGGCACCGCAGGCCCCTTGCGGTAGGGCAGGGTGCGGGGGGCACTGGGGACACCGGGCTCCCTGGGAAGGAGCGGGGGCTGGGAGCCAGCCCTGGGGCAGAGGTCGGGGTTGAGCGGGGTGGGCAGGCCCCCAGGGGCCGTGGAGTGGGGCTGCGCCCGCAACAGCAGCTCCTGCAGGGTCTCGCCCACCTGGGCCAGGCTGTCAGAGAGGCCGTGCAGGCGGGACACGGTGTCGCTGGCCAGGCTCTCCAGCAGCGCCTGCTGCCGCCGTGAGGTCTGCAGGATCTGCACCAGCAGCTGCTGCATGCTCTGCAGCAGGTGCGCCGCATTGGGGCCTGCAAGCAGACAGGGTGCGGGGGTGAGCGTGGGGCTCCTGCTCCGCCTGCCAGTGCCCAGGGTGCAGGGAGGAAGGCACGTCCCCTACCTGAACTTCATATCCCCTCCAAGCTCCCCCCAGGAGCAAGGGAAATAGGCTCCCTAATTGCCCAGGGGCAGTGCTCACCCCTGCCCAGCATGGCAGGCTGCAGCTGCCCATGCCCTGCCCTGTGTTCCCCACCCCAGCACCTTGCCCCTCTCCCTGGGGCCCCCGGGGGAGCTCTGCCCTGCTCCAGGTCCAGCCAGGAGGGAGCCGGAGAGAGGAAATAGCCTGTCCCAAGAGACTCCTGGGCAGTGAGGACCCAGCCCCTAACTGGCCTCTCCAGCTGCCCAGGGCCGAGGGGGCTCGCGGGGACGGAGGCTGCAATCCATCTTGCTAGGAGCCAGACTGAGACCCGGCAAACTCGCTGCACCCACAACTGCCATGGGATGCACAGACCCGCCCTAGGCCCTACCAAGGCCCCGCGGCTGCATCTGGGCAGCGACGGGACGTGGGCAGCACGGCGGCTGGGGGCACGCGGGCGGCTGGCGTACCTTGGAGGGCCGCAGCCGATGCCTCCTCACCGTCCAGCTGCTCATCCTCCACCGCCGTCTCAGGTGGAGCCGGGTCTCCGGCAACGACCGGTACTGCTGGGTCCTGGGCCCCCCATGCTGCGTTTGCCTGATGCTCCCCGGGGGAGTCTGTGAAGGGAATGACAATCACGTGTCTGCCGTGAGCACCGGCCTGCCACGGCCCATTTCTGCCCACTGATCACAGGAACAGCAGCCACATGGCCCCAGGTCCCCCTCGTGGCCCCCACTGCTTGCCCATAGCGGGGCCTGCGGCCGGCTGGGCTCAGGCAGGGCCAGGGGGCACGGGGCCAAGGGAGCTCCCCGGGACAAGGGGGTAACAAGTCTTACGTCCTACAGGAGCAGGAGCTGTCTGTGCTGGGGACGTTGCATCCTGGGGAGCTGTGGGGGGAGATTCAAGAGTGGTTTGATGGCAGCTGCTGAGACAGCACGACTAGCTCTGGCCCTGGACCAGCGTCCGTGCTGGCACCCGTCACACCCCCTGGCCACAGCCCCGCGGGGCTCACAGCATCATACAAGCTGCGGACAAAGGCCGGCAGGAGTAACTCACCCATCCCTGCAATGCAGCTGCCTCTGGGGTGGGGGGTGGCGGCTGTGTAACAGCGCGACCAACGCTACCCGGCAGTTTCAGGCAGGAAGTGAACAACCCCACGTCCACGTGAACAACTGGGGGGGCTTGGGAGACAGAGGGGTGATTTCCCAAAGTGGAACGTGGCCAGGATGCCAGGGTTCGTGGCTGGCCGCAGCCTGGACAGAGACCCCTCCTCCGTGGCGCGGTGCCTCGGCTGGGCGCGGGGTCCCCGCCGCAGAGAAGCAAGTCCTCCTGAGGCATCAGTGGGCAGGCAAGAGGGGCAGGCATCTGTATAGGCCTCGGCACCCCGCGGAACAGCAGAGCCCTGCCTCCCCCCAGCCCGTGCCGGTGCCTGGATGCGGCCGCAGCCCCAGAGAAAGGTCCTCTGCCCTGTTGCCGCCCCCCCCCCGAGCCTGCTGGGAGCAGGATGGAGCCAGAGCCGCGCTGCCCCCCAGATGCTGGCAGGGCAAGGCGATACTTGCAGCCGGATGGCTCGCGCGCAGAGCCCCAGACCTGGGGGGTGGGAACGGGATTAGGTTTGCACCCGAATCCCTCCGAGTGCCAGCTCTGATGGGCAACCCAGGGAGCCCAGGGCCAGAGTGCAGCGCAGATGGACAGTGGTCCCCGCCATGCACCCCCAAGCCAGTACAAGAGCTGCACAGAGCAGCACCCCCGACCCTGGGACTCAGGGACCTCCCGGGGCAGATGCCAAGAGGCGAAGTGGCAGGAGGGGAAGAAAAGCAGCCTGTGGCGCCTGCCTGTCCCTCCCCCAGTCCCGTGGTAGGCCAGGCCCGGAGCACCCGCACAAGGGTACCTGGCAGCTCTGGTGCGGATGGAGACCGGGCCTGGAGGGATGGTCGACGCCTGGCAGGAGGCGGCTTCGCCAGCGCTGGAAAGGAGAGAGAGGTCAGGCGCGGCGGGGCAATGGAGACCCCACCCGGGGCCAGGGCTCACCCCACAGCCCCGAGGGGATCCCAGCCCCTGCATGGGGTGGCCACAGCTGGGTGCAGGACCTGCTGCAGAAGGGGCCCTGGGCTGCGGGGCAGAGGCAGGCGGGCGCCTCGGGCCCCCGGGCGGTGCCGGCCACGCCTGCGGCCTGCCGCTGCGCGGCTCCGGGTAGTGCCAGGGGCCT